ATGTGCAGTGACAATATTATTAATGCCATATTTTTTTTCTATTAATGCCATATTTTTCTGTTTTTCTATGACAATATTTTTCTACTAATGCCATTTTTCTGTTTTACTATGTGACAATATTATTTTTGACATTTAATGTCATTTTTATGACATTAACTCCTTCCACATGGCAAAAACATTACTAATAATGCCATGCTTTTTCATGTGTTACAAAGTTATTTTTACACATACTGCCATTTGTATGGCATTAAGTCCATATGATGGCTATTATTACTTTGCAAATCCAACATTTATAATGTCATAAAAGTGTCAAAATGATAATAAGATTCATATCCCTGTTTGGAGATAAACCCCATTAAAACTGGTATTCAAATGATCATATAATATGTTGAATCCTTTTTTCCAGTTTTAAGATCGGTGGTGGTGGCGCTAGAAGAGACGTAGTGCTGAACAAGGAGGCAGTGGCACTCTATGGCATCTGACGGCGGTGACTGGCGGCAGAGGCATCTAGCAATTGTGACGCCGGCAGAGAAGAGACGGTAGTACCGATGGAGATTGCGGCGACTGGCGGCGACTGGCGGCGGTGGCTAGAGACTAGCGGTGGTCGGCAACTGGCGGTGGTGGACGCCGGCGACTGGTAGCAACGACTAGTGCAGGTCCTCAGCTTGTGGCTTGGGTGTGCGTGAGGGACCTACCCACCGTTGTGTAGAGCTTTCAGTTTATTGTCTATTTTGAATTTGTATTAAATTAATCAGATTAATCATTAAGGGTACTTTTGTCAACACATATTTTTACTCCTACAGAATTGAACGGATTGTTGAAGTCCTAGATTTGCACTTTTGTTATATTTTAGTCTTACTTACGGAATTAACTCTTAGAGAAAATCTCCACTTTAGGAGTAAAACATACTGAGTATGTATTAAATGTGCAAAAGTAGGGCTCCTATCTTCACGATTAGTTTGCCATACGGAAATTATTAGTAAGGGACAAAAATGCCCTTAATGAATACTCCAACTTATTTAGTGAGTATAAATATAAAATAGAATAATGAACTAATTAATGCATTACACAACAAGCACTGATGTATTTTTCCTTCCCCAACCACAAGGTGTCGCAGGCACACCACCCAGGGGGGCAGCACTTGCACCAGTAAACGCCACCAGCTGCCGCTAACCTCCGTTGGACGCTGGCACTAGATGTCGGGCATTGCCGTTGCCGGATGCCGCCAGTCTCCACCGGTCACCACCGTCGCCGGGCGCCATCAGTCTCCATAGTCACCGGACTCCGCTACCACCACCATCTTCGCCGCTGACTCCTTCCAGAATGACCACCGGCCATCTCTATTTTTGACACCGTTATCTCCACCCCTAGCCTCTTTTGGCTCCAGCATCTTAAATCTGGAAATTAAGAATGCTTTAGAATGACATCTCATCCCTTGAATCTCATAAGATGACATTCATATTAAAATAGAAGAAGTTTCATTGTCATTTTGACATTTAATGACATTATGATTATTATATCCGGAAGTGTCATATATTGCCATCATCATGGAGATAGTGCTATACAAATGGCAATAAGTGCGAAAATATTTTTTTATATTAAAAAAATATGACATTATGAATATGGTATTTGCCATCTTGATGAAGTTAATATTAAAAAAAGCATTGTGTATCGAATAATGTTTTTACATGAAAAAAACATGTCATCATTAGTATATTATTTACAAAAAAGTAATATTTGAATCTTAACACCATAAAAACACTTTAAAATGGCAATTATGGCAATTTCATATTCAAACCAGAAAATAATTTGTACAAAAATATTGATTGAAATTAAATGTAAAAACTTAATTATATTCTGTAATGTAAAATACAAATTATTTCAAAATAGCAATTAGAAAAAGAAAATGACTATTACTCAACCGAACTAACTCAAAAAAGAAATTAAAAGTCAATCTTTCAATTGAAAGAGGAAAAACGAAAAATCAATAAGAACTTAAAAACAGACGGTCTAGAAAGAAGAAAATTAAAGCTAAAAAAATCAATTGGTTTTAATCAAACACCAAGCCACCAACTTTCGTATGAAAACATAAAGCTCCATAAAGCTCCACCTTACTGCCGATTGAATTAATAGAAGAGAAAAGAAGAAGGGGTATTGAGAAGAAAAGGAGGAGGAGAGGAAGAAGAAGAATGAAGAGCAAGAGATTAAAACTTACCTGTGAGAATCGCCGATCAGCGTCGTCCGCCAGTGACCGGAGTTGGGGGAAAAAATCGCTATTGAAGTCTTTGTAATATGCATCGGAGATGGAGGAGTGAAAGAGAATTAGAAATCAGATCTGAAAATGGATGTGAGAGAGGAAGAGGAAGATGAAAAGTGAGAGGGGTGGGTGGAGGGTTACATACTAACGTGAGAAAAATCTGACATAGAAAAAGTAAGTTGGCAAGATAAAGGGCATGTTTACTTTGGACTTAATGAGCTGAATAAAATTATTGACTTAATCATCCAGTTATATACTTCTGTTTATTTAGGACTTAACTTAACACGTGACTTATTCGCTAAGTCAATTTACGACTTAATGGTTCAGCTTCATTTTAACAATGCTTGCCGTTCAGACTTGTCAGCCTCTACCGAATGCCCTCTTTAACCTTATCATTGCACACAACATCACTCTTGGCTACAAACCTGCGGAAATCCACGACCTGACCATCTTGCGAGCTTTCACAGTACCAACTAAGAAGAACATCAAAGCCTAACTTCATCTTGGTATTTTCTCTCATCTTACATCTTTTATTCTATTTTTCTTCCTTATTCTCGATCTACCTAGTTCATAATTCTTATAGATTGGTAAAATTTCACAAATTCAACTTAATTTAGAGATGTCATATTCTTCAACCTCATTTTATGTGGTCTTTTTTTATTGGAGTCTCTCATATATGATATTTTGATATAAGATTAATATGTTCTTTTTTTTTTAAGGAAAGAAGGCTCTGCACTTTCTGCAGTTTATTAGGCAGCAACGCAATTGTTTGGTTTGTGTATTTGCTACATATTTTATATAGAACATGAAACATTGTATTCTTAGGTTCTGGTTTTATAATGTCTATGAAGTATTTGTAAAAATGCCTCACTAAAAAATGATCATGAGAAATTACTTTTGTAAAAATGCAATATTGATTTAGTAGTTCCTATACTAAGCTGTTTTATTTAAAGTAGCAACTCATCAACTGTTTTGTTGAATATAACTTCTTGTAGAAAGAAGATTATTTTGGGATTGGTATTCAACATTGTTGAATTACAAAAAAAAAAAGATTTTCCAGAAAGGTCTTCCAAAGTAATTCATCCTGAAAGAAAAAAAGAAGTATAAGGGGTACAAATATTATGGACAACCTGAAATCGTTAGTTTTCATTGTGCTGAAAATTGTTTTTTTCTTAATTTCTTATACTGAAGCATTACAATTGACTTCATATTTGTTAGCTTCTAAAAATGGTTTCTAATAATCTTTTGTACTCCGTATTTCATGTACTGGTTTAGAGGGATGGTGCAATTACTTTGAGGCCACATGCAAGTGTTCTAACAGGCTGTCTTTTTAAACCTTATTTTGATTTCATTTGGGATGTAGCGAGTATGTGTGCTGTCATAATCAAGTTCATTATGCTCTGGTTAGTTATGCTCCGCCTTTACTCTTGTATTTCGAAGGTCATCATTCATCAGTTCATCACTTGACATTTACAGATGGAGAGCTCTAGCTACAAAAGACCAGTTTATTCATCTGAGTAGCTCATGTCAAGACTGTCTGCAGCTAGTAGAACAAATTGTAGTAGTTTATGTTGTGTAATTATTTCATAACACAATGTGAATTTTGTATTTTTGTTAGTTATGAATTACGATTAATGACATATGTTTGATGTTATCATAAATGTTAGTTTGCTGGTATTGAATTGTAATATAAAATGCAGCGATTAAAATAATGTAAATAATGATTTTTGGAAAGAGTCAAACAGGTTTTATGTACATGAAAACATTTTTTATGGGTTTGCTCAGTCCCATGTAAAAGAACCTACAATAATGGTTGATGTATGCCTGTTTAAATTGTTGTTCTCACAAAGTGCTTGACTTTTTCTTATTAAGTAATGTGACATTTTATTTAAATAATTCATAGTACGTATATTATTATTCTAGGCATATGAAATTATTGTTCAGAACAAGAAAAGTAAACAGTCAATATACATTCAGATTTTGTCCTAGACAGGAGGGTTATTTGGTCATTTGATATGATTCAGACATCTCATTCAGCTAACTTAGTAAACAGTTTGTTATCTTAGTTTCACTTAATCCAGATAGACAACTTAATGCAGACAGACGTCTTAATCCACCCAGCACTTAATGGAAAAAAAGTAAACAGCCCCAAAGTAAATTAATTTATCAAAAGGGGGTAAAATTGGCAAAAGATACGGACGAAATAACTGATGGCTTCTATTTAGGGAATCAATCAATAAGGACTCCTATTTTGGAATTTTATCTATGTTTTACTCCCTTTTAGGGTAATTACTTAATAAACTAATTAAAGAGTTGTCATTCTTAACTAATTTCTAGTCAAACTGTTTGCCAAACTCCCAAACATTCGTATCTCATCTCATCAGGGACGGAGCCAGAACTTAGTCATAGGGGGGGCAAAGAAGCAACAAAAAGAACCAACCAGATTTTTTTGAAGAATTTTTTTGAGAATGTTATCCATGATGTGTAGATTATTTACATCAAATTTCAGTTTAAAATTCAATCAAGAAGTCAATTAAACAAATTATTAAAAAACATTGAGTCAAAATATATATAAAACAACACAATGTTTTTCTATAATTTTTTAATTGACTTCTTGGTTCAATTTTAAGCTAAAATTTGTTTGAAATAATCTACTCTTCATGACAAATATGCTCACAAAATTTGATAAAATAGTTCTACACAAAAACATCTCAAATAGAGGCTTCTATCAGGTTATTTTGGTCCCAACTTTTCTGATTATTTTATATTGAATACTAATACTATTAAAAAGTATAAAAACTGGGAGGGGCAATGGCCCCCCTACCCCTCAATGTAGATCCGTCCCTGCATCTCATACACCAGCTCGTCTCTCAATAAAAAATAAAGCTTGAAATTTAGAATGATTTTATTGAGATTGAAATTTTTTCGTGTGGAATAGTTTGGTCGGATAGATCCAGGGGTGGACGTACAGCGCAAACTTCTACTAGCTTCTTTTAATTTAGTAAGAAATATCTCCAACCCAATACAATTGCCCCCAGTTAAAAAATAAAAATGCCCCTATATACCTAGCTCAATCGGCAGGAAGATGGGGGTGTTGGGATGCATAGGGGTGATTTCCCCGTTCCCGTTCTACTACTGGCTCTGGACTCGTCCTCAAGCATGGGTGGATCTTTGCGGGGAACTGCGAGATCCATCTCACGCCATGGGCATGGTTTCTCACGCGCTCAAGCTCCTCCAGTTCCTCTCCCTTCTCCCCGTCTCCTCGCTTTCTTGGCCCCCGCCTTTCTACTTCTGGCCTCTCTTCTCGTTTGGTCAGTTCCTCAACTTCAGGGTATACCAATTGTTAGGAGAGTCAGGGACCTACTATGGTGTTCGGTTTGGGAAGAACATTCCGTGGGTGACACAGTTTCCATTTGGAGTCATAAGGGATCCACAGTACGTTGGTAGCATATTAAGCCTTATCGCTTGTTTGTCATGGGTCCCTTTCTCGTATATCCTCCTTTGGATCCTCGGCTATGTGTTTATGATTTATGCAGAGTCTAAGGAAGATCCATCAACTCGTGCTAAGCCATTGAACCAAAACTAGTTATGAGGCGTGGCCGCGTTTAAGGTGACCTAGCTCAATCATTCAATAAGCCCAAAAGCCCAAATAATCCAAATTTCCAATGCCCAAATTAACAATTCGTACTTCCCAGCTGCCAACACTCCCCAGCAGATAGCAAAGTAATTGACCAAATTGGCAAATCATGCAAATCCCTAGCATTAGAAGAACAGAGTCTGCGGCTCGACTCACCAGCGTCGAGCGGAGTGGAGCCTAGAGTCGACGAGCGGTGTCGTTGCCTGATTTCCTTTTTTTTCGATAACATGTAAGTATATTAGAAATCGAAAAAAATAGCATTTTACAATGCATCAAATCCAAATCAAAATGACTATCTAAGCTAGAATAAACTAACCTAGATATAATGCATCAAAATAATGGGACAGACCCCACCTCACAAATTAATGTTATACAATCAAAGTGCATATCCCAATGCGCGGGATATCACAAAATCAAAAGCTCATAGTCTCTCAAATCCAAGATTTGGGCCAATGAAATCAAACAAAAACTAGCTTCAACAAGTTCCTAATCTAAACATCCAAAGAAAGCCCGGAAAGGAGTAGTGAATTTAGCATCAAAACAAACCTCCCCTTTCTTCTTTGTAACTCCCGGTAATCCCTCTAGACATCTTGCGGTGAAAGTTAAGCCCTTTTTATCCAAATCGTCCGTAAGTCGAAGGGAAGTATCCACTCGAATCACACTAGCCCGCACAAATCTAAACGGTTTGACAACCAACTTGAGTGTCTTACCGTTAACCATCTCACATTTGATGACGACATCATGTTGGTGCAAATCATTCTCATCCGTAACTACCCTCTCAATATCTTCCAAAGCGGCCACAGATTGTTCATTTGAGCTTTTCACAACTTCTGGAGACCATTGGGTTTGCTCCTGGACAGTTGTATTTTCATGAAACCCGGTCGGGTTAAGGCCTGGCCCGGTCAGGTGGAGCTCCTGGGCAGATTCTGCCAGACTGGATTGGGCAGCGGGTTCAACAGTTTCCACAATCTCCGCAGGTATGTTTTCCTCTCCCCCAATTTTTATTTGTTCATCTTCACCTTTCTCACTTGATTTCACCGTATCATCGTCCTTTTTTGCTAGCTTATTGCAAATAAACGGGTGGTGCCCATATATCTTACAATGGAAGCAAAAATTTGGGAATGTTTCATACACCACAAATTGTTTAACTACCTTCCGGGATGGTAGTCGAATAGGAAATGAAAGTGGCGGTGGCTTCGAAATATCCACTTCAATAAGCACTCTAGCAAAGTGGTGATTAGACCTATCATGTGTGACTTTGTCCGTAGCCAATGGGACACCAACCATGGATGCAATCTCACTCAAAGCATCCTCATTCCAAAGTTTCAAGTGTAAGTTAGGGAATTTAACCCAAATAGGTACTTTGAGAAACTCTTCATCATCAAAGGAAAAATCATCCGATAGTGCTTTTAACATAAGTAGTTTCCCAAAAATGGTGTAAGGTCCCTCTTTCAACACTTTTGTCCTATCATCCTCACTTTGAAATTTAAATATAACCCAACCCTTATCATGGGGCTTAATAATGCACTTAACACCCCATGTGTTCTTCAAATCATAAATCGCTTTTAGACCGGGAAATTTTCCGGTGAAACAACCGACTAAACAAAAACCCCACATTTCAACCATACTAGGCATAATCCTATCGGAAAAGTCAATGGTTGTGCCACTAGGCGGGATGTACCTCAATTTAAAGCCATTCGAGGGTGCCCGATTGTCCTTAAAAAGGGAGGACCAAGGAGTAGCAGTCCCTGAGCTAGCTGCAGCAGTAATAGCCTGGGTTCTCACAGTAACATTCTTTAAAGCTTCAATTTGTGCATGGTTTTCTTTCCCAGCAGCATTGACCATATCTCCTGATATTTGGGGAGCACTTCCAGCAAAAACTACCCCCTTAGCTTTCTGCACAGCACTCTTGGAGCCCAGAATCAGTGGCTCATCCTCAGTTACAGCAGCAGGAGGGGCCACAGGAGGTTGTTCACGAGCAGGTTGTTCAGGGAACTCCACCCCTGCTCCATCCAGCACCGCAAACAAGGACCTGGTAATTCGCGAAGTTGAGGATGCGCCATTGACAAGCTGTTTCTTCCTCGCCATATTTGCGCACTACGGACGTCGCAGACAGAGGTCACAGAGGAGCCTGACCTCGTCTGAGCTTCAAACACACACAGCCTCCACAGATTTAAGGCGCTTCTCCACAGGACAATTAAAACCCCAAACAACACTCAAAAATCCAGATACAAGATTGTAAAGAAATTCAAAAACGACATGAACAGTAAGCCTTCATATCGACGGACTCGTTTTACGCGATTTGTGGTCGGAATCCTTCATCCTAAGCTCAAATTGAAACTCGAGATTAGGAGTAAAGGAAATCGCGACTAGGACACCACAAAATCCATCCTCAAAGCAGTGAAATTTGATGCAACCAGTGAATTCTTGTTCGAAAAAGAACCCAGGCGGAAATCCTAGGGAGAGAAAGCTCTCAACTTTTCCTAAGTAATTTCGTTGCCTGATTTCCTAAGCTTGCTCAGTGGCGTCATGGAGGCTCAAGGCTGGACAGCAGACGATTAAGGCCTTTAGTGCAGACCAAAAGGGAGAAATAGCAGCTACAACTCGAGAATGGCGTCGAGAAAATCGAAAGCTCCGGTTCCAAAAGGCCTTTAGTGCAGGTTTCTCTTTAAACTTATTGATTATTGAATATTAACTAATAACTATTTGACTAATATATGTAATTTGTATTTGGTATTATTGTATGCTTTATTTTTTGTTTTAACTTAATGAGTTAATGGTTAATGGGTAGATTAGCGTTCTGCCATTTTACCTTGATGTTGTAATCATGTAATGTTTTACTTGTTTAGTTGTTTAGACATGATAAATATTCATTAATAAAATTTATTCAGCTTTATTAAAAAGTTAGTCAAAATTAATAATCAGTATTAAAACTTAATAATTGTCAATCCTAATCCTAATTCCTAAATAGTATTAGGATTAAAGAATTAAGTTAACTAGTAAATTAACTATGCAAATTATATTTTTATAGCTAAAAGAAGGTGTAAGATAATAAGATATATAAAGACTACATTAGTTACCAAAAAAACTGATTTATTTTTTTTATCAGCTTTTATGGGCAGATTTTTGAGTAAAACATCCTCCTCAACACCCTCCTCAACACCAGGAAGTTCAAGTGTAATTGTGTGTAATATTACTTCTCAATGTCATAATCCAATGTCTCAAGAAGTCAATTTGGATGACCTTCCTTCGGACCCCGCAAAAAGAAGAAAAAATTCTGAATATCATCCTAATCAAAGGGATGAAATTCGAAGAAAATATCTGATTAAAGGTCCTTGCCAACCACGTGGTCATGACTTCCCACAAAAGGAAATCGGGAATACTTTGAGACGGTATAATTCTAAATCAGGTCTTCTTCTCAAAGCTGAGATGTTTTTGAAACGGATTACCAATGGAGAGATGGAATGGCGATGTCCGATGAGCAACTACAAAACATGTTGTCCCAACAAGATGGACGCTTTTTCCAACAAGAAGACATCCCGACTATTGACGAAGAAGCGCTCGAGGATGATGATGCGAAGGAGGGCGATCCGGACGATGAGGAAGATGTTGAGGACGAGGCCGGTTCATCCCAAATGGGTAAGAAAACTAAATCTCTCATGATGAAAAAAAAATTAAAAAAAGGAAAGACAAAGCAACCGAGACGATATGGTACGCAACTTGCAACCATTGCGGAAAAGAGTACAACTTGGGAATTTCACAAGGATACGGGAGTGCAAGAATGCATCTTAAGGGCGCGCACCCTGTGGAGTATGCAAAAATAGCGCCGCAAGGCACGGGGAAGCAAACTCAATTATCAAGGTTTGCAAATGGCCAACCCTTTAGTAATTTCTCATATGATGAATCCAAACATTTGAGTGGTATGTCTAACTTAATTATATTGTTGAAGAAAATTTGCCTTATCTTTTTCGGAAAGTCTTGCTTTAAGAGAATATGCTCAAGGTAGTTTAAATCCTCAATTTAGAAATTATAGTCACAAAACGATTATAAAAGAAATTATAAGGCTTTATAATGCGGATAAGGCAAGATTACAAAATTTTTTCACAAACTTCAATGGGCGTGTTAGTATTTGTAGTGACATATGGGAGGATACGTATCATCATTTATATTATTTGGGGGTCTGACAGAATATTATATTGATGATGATTGGGAAATGCATAAACGTGTTCTTGCTTTTCTTGAATTTATTGATCGACACACAGCTGATAATATTTATCTTCTCATTGGGCGTATTTTAATTAAGTATAATTTGATTGATAAGGTGTTTGTTGTGGGTTTTGTGATAATGCTAGTAATAATACTGATGTTATTACTAGATTGCGTGAATTGTGTGGTTCAACTACTTTGATTGGTAGGTTTTTTCATCAACGATGTGCATGTCATATTATCAATTTATGTGTGCAAGACGGTCTAACCGCGTTAGGAAATGCTATGGACATAGTCAAGGGGGAATTAGACGTATTTGGGCTAGTGGTCAACTTAAATTACAATAGCAAAATTATTGGAAATAAAGAGGTGTGATATATTGTGCTTTTCTTAAAGATTTGTCTATTCGCTGGAATAGTACTTATAAGTTAATTAAAGTACTTGTTAGATATAAAGAACATTTTCCTTCTTTTTAAAAAGAATATGCAAACTATATTATAAACCCGGTTGACATCGACACTTGCGAAAAAATTGTGAAAGTTTTGCTTTTCTTTTTTAATGCAACTGAAACTTTTAGTCATGTTTATAAACCTACCTCGCACCAAGTTTTTCGTGAAGCTATTAATCTCGCCGGTGCTTTTAATGGATTTTTGAATGCCCCTTACGTTAATTATTTTTGTAATTTTATGAAGGAAAAGTTTTTAAAATATTATGCACATATTCCACATATTTATGGTATTGCATT